GATGATGAATTGATGATGATGATGATGATGATGATGGTGATGTTCAGATGTGTGTATTTGATGTTGGGATACACAGGAATCAAATATAGTTCTCCTACTTTGGCATCAGCAATGAGTAATCTCACTCCTGCTTTCACTTTCCTCTTTGCTCTTCTCTTTAGGTAACTTTCGTTGCAAACCCAAATTCGGTTTGATTCATTTTCAGTTCTAATCTCACTAACCGAACCGAGTTAACTTACATACCGAATTCGGATTTTGGTTCGGTTTATCAAGGATTCTTTGTTTGATATTCGGTTTGGCATTTTGATTTAAAACTTATTACTAGGTGTAGACATTTAGAAATTCTCAATTTATCCTGTTTGAAAATTTGATTACCTCGTTGGTTTTTGAATAAAAGATAATATCTAAATTTAGACCAAAATTTTGGACTCATAATATATTTTGGTATGGTAAGAATGGAGAAGGTATCTATAAAGAAAAATAGCAGCGTAGCCAAAGTAGTTGGGACAATAGTTTGCATAGTGGGTGCACTTGTGGCCACTCTATATCATGGCCCCATCATCTTCGCCGCATCTCAACCGTCGTCCATTTATCTCCCTCAGCCTCTTTTGGCACCTCCATCGCCACCGTCGAATTCTAATTGGGTCATTGGCGGAGGTCTTTTAGCCCTTGAATACACTCTCATTGCCGTCTCTTACATTATTCAGGTATAAAGAAAATTAACATTGTAACACTTTGGTCATACATGGTATATCTATTGAATTTTTTAACGAAACTTAATCTAATTTAAATCTTTTCTTAACATTTTTGGTTGGAGTAGACACATATAATGAGGGAATATCCGTCGGAATTTGCCTTGGCACTTTCCCACAATGTCTGCGTTTCAATCTCTTGTGCATTTGTTAGTTTATTTGCGGAGAAGAACAATCCTAGCGCATGGATTATGAGATCGAAAATTATGTTGATATGCATCGTTGCAACGGTATGGAATGTTTCTATATATAGTTTTAATCAATTACAATATAACTAGTTATCTTATTAGGTTTAAATTTGTGTTAATGTTACATTAGGGGATGGTAAATTCGACGGGCTATGTTGTTGAGTCATGGACAGTGCGACATAAGGGGCCAGTATTCCTAGCAATGTTCAGGCCATTATCTATATTAACCGCAGTGGTACTAGGGGCAATATTTCTAGGCGATTCTCTCTATCTCGGAAGGTGAAAGAAGAATGTTTAATAACTCAAAAGATGGATCACCACATTAGTATTATTCATCTTGAATTTTCACTTTCAATTTTTACTATTTTTATTTGGCAGTGTGATTGGTGGAACGTTGATATCAATCGGTTTTTACACGGTTATGTGGGGAAAAGCAAAGGAGGAGAAGGCTGATATCGAAACTAATGTCGCAACATCTTCGCATTCGAAGAGAGTTCCGCTTTTGATGAATTACGCCGCAGAGAAACAAGTCTAACATTGTAGCATTTTGTACTGGTGTTGCAACAATTAATTTTCAAGATTTCAGTGTCCATAATTTATTATTTCATAAAGCAAATGGCTGTAGCGATTTAGCCAAATCCAATGTCTAAGGCATAGTGGCATGATTAGTATATAAATGGAGAAAACGACCTTTGTTTGAGCTACGTTATGTACAAAAAAATTGAATCTAAAGTCGTTCTTCTTCGAAAACAATTCAGAAAATTAGATTTGAGGCAGTGGCAAAACAAGAATTGTGACTGTGTAACGTCCCGACCGTCCTTATCAGTGAGCATTCATGTCCTCTCTCGGGTCCGTAGGTCCCACCCTGTCTAACGATCGGTCCGCTACGTCCCGGATGCTTTAAAGACTTGTTTATGCGTAACAGAAACTTGGAAGCGAAAGCGATAAAGTAAAACAAAGGCATTCATAGTTATATACCGCTTGGATTTTCAACTGAAATAAAATGTGTACCTCTTTGAAATTAGTACTGTTCTAATATTCTTTTGTACCACATTGATTAGTTACCATAGAAGCGATTAACCTCCTACAACACCGGTCAATGGCTACCAATTCAAATTAAAGCCTATTTAGTTTGCATATTGTCTAGTCTAATTTGTGTGAGAAATCCAGTGATGAAAATATGGCCGGAGAATTTTATACGCGTGTATATCTATCTCTATTCTCTAGTGGTCCTTTTCTATAGTACATTGTCGCAAAGAATAAGGAATCTTATATAATTAATTCAAGAAACGACAATTATTGGACCTATAAAATGTCATTTCCTTTTTACTCGTAACATAAATAAAAGCAACAAAGGGATAACAAATTAAAGACTCACATTCCACAACAATTTTTCTATCATTTCCAATAATGGCCGGAGCCGTAAGTCTTTGGCGGAGAGAGGCCATGTTCTTGACGGCAATGCTAGCGGTCGAAACTAGCGTTGTCGGAATAAGTACTTTGTTTAAAGTAGCAACTTCAAAGGGACTCAACATTTATCCTTTCCTCGGCTATTCCTATCTTCTAGCTTCTCTTCTTCTTCTTCCTTCTCTTTTCTTCACCAACAGGTTTCTAATAACTCTAATCTTTATGAGACCATTTATAACCATTCTTTTGTATTGATTTCATTTGATTTGTATGTTTTTGTTTTATAGGTCAAGGTCACTTCCTTCACTAAGTGTCTCAATACTCTGTAAGATCGGACTTCTTGGATTTCTAGGGTAAAATCAAAATAACACATTGAATATGCAACTATCTTCCACTAAATGTTGCTAATATATGATTTTTGGCTGAAAATTTAAATTAAAAAAAAAAAGAACAGATCAATGTATGTGATCACAGGATACATAGGCATCGAATACAGCAGCCCAACCTTAGCCTCCGCCATAAACAATATCACTCCTGCTCTTACCTTTATCCTCGCCGTTATCTTCAGGTTTTTGTTACTTTTACTAATTACTAATTATATATAAATTGTTTTGCTGATTTAAGATTTTTTTCATTCAGATTAATACAGAATATTCTAGTCAACAAGTCGAAATTGTAAACATTCCGGCTTAATTAATTTTAATAATTATAATATGTTCTTTAGATCAATTACGTCAAACTTCCCCAATGATTTTTTTCAATTCGACAAATTATGTTTTTCTTAGATCATGTTAGTTTTCACTTCACTATAGTTTTGTAACCAATTCTTTTCCACTAGCTGTCTTACCTAATATAGAATATTTGTTCACCCCTATATCCCACAACTAATGTCTCATCCTCTTATTTACAGTAAATTAGGTAAACAATGTTAGGTAAATAATAAATGTCAGAAGAGTACCAATAAAAGATTGGGTGAAATTTAACTTTATCAAATATATATATACAAATATAATCATTTGGATCATTTTAAGATATACTAATATTCAACAAGCTAAATAGTAACTATAACTCTAAGATAATAAGATCACACTATTAAACAAATCTAAATTCATTTGATTTGTTGTATTTCGTGTAGCTGATAAAGACTTTTAAGTAATTAGGTAAATAATCTATATATATGGTAAATGCGTTTTAATTGTTCTTCTTTCTTTCTTTCATTCTTTCATTCTTTCTTTCTTTCAATGCATATATTTATTCAGGTTTTTGGCATCTATATTTATGGTAATTGATATGAAGATAAGTTTGTTACTATCGCACTATTGCACTATTGCACAATCTTGTGGTCCATATCTAACAAGGCTGTTTGCATGAACAGAATAAATGCGTCTTAATTTGTGTTTCATAACTTTCATTGATTATTTCTTGGCCTTCTTTGGAATAAAACGTAACACAATAAATTCCATTTTGTGAATAAAGAATGGAAAAAGTATCTTTCAAAGAGAGAAGCAGTGTAGCCAAAGTGATGGGGACGATATTGTCACTAATAGGTGCCCTTGTGGTGATTTTCTACCGCGGTCCACGTGTCTCCGTAGCATCTTCTCCGCCGTATCTAAACTTCCGACAGCATTCCCCACCGTTGTCATCTTCAAACTCCGATTGGCTCATCGGTGGAGCTCTTCTAACCATACAAGGCATCTTCGTTTCTGTCTCTTTCATTCTCCAGGTAATACTTTTTTTTCTTATACATCTATAATAGAAATAATTTCATTCTAATGATATAACGATTTTGGACAGGCACATATAATGAGTGAATATCCAGCAGCATTTAGAGTCTCCTTTCTTTACACTGTATGTGTTTCAATCGTGACCTCAACGATTGGACTAGTAGCCGAAAAGAACAATCCAAGCGTTTGGATCATTCATTTTGATATTACTTTGATTACGATTGTTACTATGGTATGTTATGTAAAATTTTTTTAAATATTATCAAAATCTTTTCTTTTTGATTTTAACATAGTTTTGTTTTTTATATAAAATATTTCAGGCAATAATAACTTCAGTATACTATGTGATTCATTCATGGACAGTACGTCACAAAGGACCTCTATACTTAGCGATATTTAAGCCTTTGTCGATTTTAATAGCAGTGGTTATGGGGGGCATTTTTCTCAACGATTCTCTCTATCTCGGATGGTATATGAATCAATAGTCTTCATACACATATCTATAAACAAAACATTTGCTCATCATCTTCGATTTTGTCCTTTGTTTTGCAGTTTGATCGGAGGAATTTTGATATCATTAGGCTTCTACGCTGTGATGTGGGGCAAAGCAAACGAAGAGAAGGACCAGTTGTTATCATTTTCTGGAAAAGAGAAAACCCCTCTTCTATTGAGTGGCGAGAACGACCAAATTTAAATAAGAAAATAAATTAAAATCATGGATAATCTCTTATATAACGTGCAAATTGCTTTGTATAGAACTTAAAGATGACTATCTAATTGTTTTTAAGTTACGTATATTGAACGACTATCTAAATTCATTAGATCATGTATATACGCAATAGCTTATAATTTATTGGACCCAATATTATAAAGTCAACAAACGATAATTATTGGACCCACAGAATGCCATTCCTTTATATTGTAACATCAAGAAAAGCAACAAAATAATAATGAATTAGAGACTCACAATTCACACTACTCTTTCTATCATTTCCAATAATGGCCGGGACATTAAGTCTCTGGCGGAGAGAGGCCTTGTTCTTGACGGCGATGCTGGCGACTGAAACCGGCGTCGTTGGAATGAGTACTTTGTTTAAAGTAGCAACTTCAAAGGGGCTCAATCTTTATGCTTTCCTCGGCTATTCTTATCTTCTTGCTTCTCTCGTTCTTCTTCCTTCTTTTTTCTTCTCCAACAGGTTTCTAATAACTTTATTCTTTAAGACCATTTATAACCATTATTTTGTATTGATTTCAATTCATTTGTATATTTTTTTGTTTTCCTTTACAGGTCAAGATCACTTCCTCCCCTAAGTTTCGCAATACTTTGTAAAATAGGACTTCTTGGATTATTAGGGTAAAGTCTAATTAACACAATCTTTTTTTCCAATTTTAAATATGAAATTATGTCCCTATTTGTTAATATGTTATTTTATGGGGCCATTCTAATAAATGGTTTTTGGCTGAAAAAAAAAAAACACAACAGATCAATGTATGTGATCACAGGATACATAGGCATCAAATACAGCAACCCAACCTTAGCCTCTGCCATTAGCAATATCACTCCTGCTCTTACCTTTATCCTCGCCATTATCTTCAGGTTTGATTTTTTTCTTTTCCCAATATTTGCAGATTTCAGATTATTCTAAAAACAGACTATTCTAGTTCACAGCCGAAATTGTAACAATTTCTTCCCAGGCATAATCAGCTAAATAAGGCAACTTAAAATTGAATATTGTTTTTAGTTCACCAACTTAAGTTTTTTTTTTTAAGTTGGATCATGTTAGGTTTTCCTAATTTGGTAATTCACTAATTCCTAGTTGCCAATTGCGGAGCCCTATGCGGCTATGCTACCACTATCTCAGATACATATGTATATGTATAGTGAATTCGGTAAACGACGAGTGGTGAAAATTTAATTATATAAATAAATATGCTAAAGTTGTTAATATAAAATAAAATAAAGGTGATCGTGAAAATTTTAGATAAAAATATAATGCATTATAATATTAAATATATATCTTAAAAATATATTTATTTAAGTTATTTAGTAAATGAGTTAACACATATTCAAAATATATGATCTACATTCAAGAGTTGTATCCACCGACACATATTTTAAAAAACTATTTTAAAGTACATTTCTGGAGTGTTGAAAAAGTTATTATTTTGAGTGTGTAAAATAAAGTTATGGTTGTAAATTAAATTTGTAAAATATTTTAAGGAATATTCTTTTCTTTTTTTTGTGCAAACCTTTTTGAAGGAATATTCTATTTAATATTTTCTAAGCTTTGTACTATAAGTACTAAAATTTGATGAGGGATTAGAACAAAGTTAAGTGAGTGAAAAAGAGTTTTATAGACACTCACAAATTCTTTCTCACTCACTTAGTTTGGTTCTAACACCTCACCAAACCTTGGTATTTATAGTACAAAGCTGAGGGAATATTACATAAAATATTCCTTAAGATATTTTACAAATTTATGTTACAACCATAACTTTATTCTACTTACTCACAATCGTAACTTTTTTTCAACAAATTCCAAAAATGTAATTTTAAAAATGTTTTAGTGAATACAACTCTTGAATGTAGACCATATAGTTTGAATATGTGTTAAATATTTGGATATAAAAATTAGTATCTCTTATTTTTTAGCATCCAAGAATTTGTAACAATACAATCCACTTCTCTAAGTATCGAGTTCATTTTGAGTAATACTGATTGCGCTAATACATGGAGTGGAAAAATGCTAAGCCCCAATTGTTTGTTTGCATTATTCAACTAGATGCGTATCAATTCGTCTTTCTTTGACTATTTACGATGGCATTTATGCCTTTGTTTCTTATTTTAGAATCCATAAAATATAACACATAATTTTAATTTGTGAATAAAGAATGGAAAAAGTATCTTTCAAAGAAAGGAGCAGTGTGGCCAAAGTGATTGGGACAATATTGTCACTAATAGGCGCACTTGTGGTGGTTCTCTACCACGGTCCACGTGTCTTCATTGCATCATCTCCGCCGTATCTAAACTTCCGTCAGCTTCCTCCACCGTTATCATCTTCAAATTCAGATTGGCTCATCGGCGGAGCTCTTCTAACCACAAGAGACATCTTCGTTTCTGTATCTTTCATTCTCCAGGTAACATTTTTTGTTCTTATACATAATAGATATACTCCAAAACTTTATGGTTAAGTGGAGAACCATAACGACCATAAACTTTTGTTGTAACCATTTCGAGGGTTTATAAGGAATTGTGGGATGAGTGAGAGCTCTAGTGACAACAAATTATCTTGAGAAAAAAATGTAGTAATGAGGATAAAATGAAAATTATACCGCAGTTTCAAAATGATGAATGGTTAAAGTTTTCAAGAGCTCAAATGAAAAAATATAGGGTTTGAATGGTAACTCCATACAGCTATAGTATAGGTTATACCGTTTTGACAGTTACCAATCACAAAAACGATATCAAAAGTGTTATTAAAAGTTTTACTCTCAGCTTTTTTGTACAGCATTTTTTTTTTTTTTTTGATAAATTTTATCGGCTGATCCGGTCAGCCCCGATAGAAACGCACCGAAGTGCTTTTTTGTACAGTTTTCATTTCCAACTGTTTTGTACAGTTTTACACTATTCCGTAAAAACTTACGGATCCATAATGTTTTGACGGGTGCGGAAAAAAAAATAGAGAGAAATATAAATAGATTTACGTGGTTCATCAACAAAATGTTCGATATGTTCCATGCAAAAGAGACTAATTTTGTTATCGGAGGCAGAATTTTTAAAATACAACAGATTGGATCCTCGATCCTAGGCCAAATAGAGAACCTAACCTGAAAACAACAACCCATAAAGAATTACCCCATACTAGCAACACTCATGTGCTATCACAAAACAACGTACAATCAAATTCTAGGCTAATCAATAGATGATGGAGTTGGTCATAGTCCAATAACGATTTGCTTACCTATAGAAGAGAATTCTCAAAGGGAAGTTCTATTTCATAAACATTGGAGTTTAAAACTCGATATAGGCATATAGGTAGAGGCGGCCATGAGGTCAAGCAAGACAAGCTTGAACATGCATCAATTTTATTTCAATGTTTATTCTATATAATGATTTTGGACAGGCGCAAATAATGAGTGAATATCCAGCGGCATTCACAGTCTCCTTCCTCTACACTGTATCAGTTTCAATCGTGACTTCAGTGATTGGACTAGTAGTGGAAAAGAACAATCCAAGCGTTTGGATCATTCGATTTGACATTACTTTGATTACAATTGTTACTATGGTACGATATTCGTATTTAAAAAAAATTACCAATATATTTATTTACTTTTGATCTTAACATAGTCTTTTATAAAACATTTCAGGCAATAGTTACTTCAGTGTACTATGTGATTCATTCATGGACAGTAAGTCACAAAGGACCTCTATACTTAGCGATATTTAAGCCATTGTCGATTTTAATAGCAGTGGTTATGAGCGCAGTTTTTCTCAACGATTCTCTCTATCTTGGATGGTATGTGATCAATAGTCTTCATTATATTATACACATATATACAAACAAAATATTTTCGATTTTTTGCTTTATGTTGCAGTTTGATCGGAGGAGTTGTGATAACGTTGGGGTTTTACGCTGTGATGTGGGGCAAAGCAAACGAAGAGAAGGATCAGTTGTTACTTTCGGAAAAAGAGAAAACCCCTCTTCTATTGAACGGCTACAATGACCAAATTTAGTATGTTGTTGTTACATACTCGTAGTTACACTTTTGGTTAATGTGTACATATTGCTTTGTACATAACTTGAAATATTACTATAATTTTATTTATGATAGATTTTATTGATATCATTATAACATAATTATAAAACAGATTAATATAATTAGATCAGAACAATATTGCATGACATCCAAGCTTGAAACCGATTAAGCACAATCCGAGGGGGAGATTTGAGATTTGCAGGTGGCATATCCAAGCTTGGTTTGAATCAAGACAATAGAGAATACACGATAAAAGCTCTATTCAAAATGTTTCGAAAAAGTTAGCATTTCATATGTAAAAACGTTTATTTTCTTTTGAATATAATTTAACACTAAATTAAAAAAAAAGAACAGTATTACATGACGAAAACTTAGTCATTTGGATTTCGATCCGGGTGCTGTATCGATATTCGATAGTGTATCTGCGGGAAACTCTTTGTTGAAGAATTTGTCCATCTCCAAGCGTTACAAAAACATTCAAGGTTTGTGAACGGGACTTCCCATTCCAAGAGAGTTAAAAGAAAAACCACTCTTGAGAAGGTCCAATAAGGATAAAGAATTTTAAATTTGTTATGAAAATCAAATTCAACAAACATTCCACTAAGAAATCAATGGTGTAAAATCACCAACACTTCCCACTTATAAATGGATGGTGTAAAACACTTATGTGGAGACCACCATCACTAAACATCTCTATATTTCTTCTCTATATATACCATCAAATTCATTGTAAAATGTACACAAAAAAAAAATCACAACAAAATCAATGCAAAAACTCTCTCTATTTTTTACTTCTCTCTTATATTGATACTTCTTTCTTAAGTTATAAAATCATTTGAAATACGTTTTCACAACAAAATTATCCAAATTTTCATTTCACGTCAAACTTTTTTTTTTTTCATCGAACACCATTTTTATTAAATAATTAGAAAGATCATTTCACGTAGAACTAGGAGAGACCAAACGATTAGGAAGGCCCACCAAAATTCCAATAATTTTATTTTTGTCGTAATCATCATTTTGGTCCCAAAGAGGAACACAAGATATTATAAAGAACTCTGGTGGATTTTTATAAGGCTTCTCTCATTAGTCATTCCACACATTAAGCTCTCTATCTTTTGATCTTGCCGACAATGGCCTCCATTAGTCTCCGTCGGAGAGACGCCGTGTTATTGACGGCGATGTTAGCGACTGAAACCGGAAACGTGGCGATGAATACTCTGTTTAAAGCAGCAGCTACTTCGAAAGGCCTTAATTCTTATACCTTCCTCATCTACTCTTATCTCATTGGCTCTCTTGTTCTGCTTCCTTCTCACATCTTCTCTTACAGGTTTCTAGATAACAACTTCTTTTTTAAAAAAAATTTGATACAATTCATAAACCATATTTGATTGTTTCTTTTTTTTTTTATTATTATTATTTATTTATTTATTTTTTTTTATTGATTGTTTCTTGTTTTGTCAAAAAATTTCATTTGATGATTTGTGGATTTTTTTTGCAGGTCAAGATCACTTCCTCCATTAAGTTTTTCAATACTCTGTAAAATTGGAGTTCTTGGGCTGCTAGGGTAAAGCCAACTACACTTCTTGTTCTTCTTCAACTTTTGAATGTAATTATTTTATCTAATTTTTAGTAAAGCAATTTTTATTAACCTGAAAATGTTCCTAACATATTTTACTTTTTACTAATATAAATATAAAATGAACAGATCAACGTATCTGATCACAGGATTCATAGGCATCGAATACAGTAACCCAACTTTAGCTTCAGCCATTAGCAATATCAATCCTGCCATTACCTTCATCCTCGCCATTATCTTCAGGTTTTTAATCCATTTTCCTTTTTTTTTCTTACATTTATGAATTGTTCATTAGTGATGTCAGAAATTTTCTACCCATTAACAAAAAATATATAGCAGAAACTTTTTTCTCATTAATAAGCGTCACATATAAGTGGTAGTGGTAGTGGTAGTGGTAGTGGTAGTGGTAGTGTTAGTGGTAGTGTTAGTGGCAGGAACTATGCTTATAGTTAGTCGGACTAACTTAGTCCCTGATTTTTTGGGTTACTTTAATAAAGGGAATATAATACAGATAGGATTATTCAATAGAAGTGTGCTGTTTTGTAGATTAAGGCACTTGAATCATCAGTTTGCAAAATAAATAAATAAATTTTGTACTTAATTTACATGTTTAGTAATAAAATTTCAGAATAATAAGTTTTTAACAAAGTTTAGTTATTGTTAGATCTACATCAGGTTCAGGAAAATGACAGGGATAATTGTGTGGCACATGTTAGTCAGGTTCATTATTTTAATTGGACATTAGCTGTAATGTAAACATCATTGGTGATGTTCTAAATAAAAACAACAATTTTAGGTTTTTGTAACACTAATTTTTTACTTTTCTTTTAATGAATTTTCTGTATATAAAGAATTTCAGAATTTTGATTTTTTAGAAGAAGATTTGATATGATCAAAAGAAAGTTTGAAGTTTTTTTTTTCTTTTGAAATTAATCAGTTTGGAAGTTTTGAACCGATGTTAACTGATTACCCCGCAAAATTAAAATTTTGCGGATCAATTTTCAAAACAAATCGAACCAAAATATCGGATCGACGTCTCAATTAAAATGCCTAGCTAAGTCGATCCCTTTCCTTTGTGAGATACAGAGCGGGCCATATGAGTCCCGAAAACACATTATGATTAATCTTGAACATTAGGAACATAGAGGCTAGAGCACATATGGTACCCTTATTTACAGTATTATTAATGTGAGTAGTAATGACAATGTTTTATCGGTGCTTGGAGAAACTAGAACAAAGCAACCCATAAAAAAAATTCCAATTTCGTAGTTATACATTTTTGTAAAACCTAAACCTTTTTATTTTTAATTATTTAAAATTTTAGTACACGAAAAAAAAAACCAAAAACAAAAACTCTGAGAGAGTGAAAACCTACCATATAATTATAGGAGCGAAACCCGAAAAGGCAACTAAAAATTTAGAAATACCAAATGTTCCCTCTTAATTCCGATTACATAATAAATCCACCGCAATTTTTTTGTGGGGCTATTCTGAGAACCGAAGCACAAATTACAATGTCTCAAAACCTCTTTTAGGATGATTTAAAACAAATAACCAAAATTTTGTGATATACGCAATGACAAAGTTATATTTTATTTTATGTGAAAATTTAATTTATCATATGTAAAATTTTTATATAAACATGTAATTTCTTATAATATAAATTTTATATTATTCTTTAATGTGTTAAATGTAGGTATATTCATTTGCGAGAAGTGCAAATAACTACATTTTTAAAATTATTTTTATTTATTAACGCGTCAGGTTTTATTACAAATTTCATTGGTAATAGTAATTTTGAAAATTTTCATTTCTATGATTAAAATGATTGCTTTTACTATTTAGCAAAACATTTCTTCATTTAAATATTTGTCATGTTTTCAATTTGTTAAACAAAAAACAGAATGGAGAAAGCATCTTTCAAAGAAAAGAGTAGTATAGCCAAAATGGTTGGGACAATAGTTTCACTAGTTGGCGCACTTGTGGTAGTTCTCTACCATGGTCCACGAGTCTTCACCCCATCTTCTCCGCCGTTTCAAGAACTCCATCAGCTTCTTCCGCCGTTATCATCCTCAAACTCCGATTGGATCATCGGTGGTTGTCTTTTAGCCATCAAAGACACCCTCGTTCCTGTTGCTTTCATTCTTCAAGTAATACCATATTAATACTTTTTACTTGATATCTTGATGATACATGTATGTACATAAACTAAATTTTCCTCATAGTAGATTAATATTGAATTGGACAGGCACACATAATGAAGATATACCCAGCACCATTCACGGTCTCTTTCTTCTATTTTCTGATTGCTTCAATCTTGACGTCATTGATCGGAATCGTAGCAGAAGAGAACAATCCGAGCATATGGATCATTCATTTTGACATTACATTGGTTTGCATAGTTGTCGGGGTACGTAAATTTTTTAATTTTTAAGAAAAATTAATTATATTTTAAACTTTGTTTCAATACTATAGTATAACTATTTTTCTCAGGGAATATTTAATCCAGGATATTACGCGATTCATCTATGGGCAGTACGTAATAAAGGACCTGTTTACTTAGCTATATTCAGACCTTTATCGATTTTAATAGCAGTGATAATGGGAGCGATTTTTCTTGGCGATTTGTTTTACCTCGGAAGGTATACAGACACACTTGTTTGTGAAACAAGAAAAACCAAACATCTAATGGTTAATTGTTTTTTGGTTAATGTTGCAGTTTGGTCGGAGGGATTTTGATATCATTAGGGTTTTACACTGTGATGTGGGGAAAAGCAAAAGAAGAGAAGACTCAATTGTTGTCGCTTTCAGAGGAAGCTCCTCTTCTAATCAAAAACATAGACGACCAAATATAGATTTAAAAGAATGTTTGGAAACGATGATTATTATGATTAATTATCTCTTTGTAGAATGTGTTTATGTTGATAGAGATGAGAAGCACTCTATGTAGTAACAATAAAATGGTACTATATAGCTTGTAACTGAACAATAATTTTTATTACTCACACATGTTACAAACAGATGTATGTTTAAAAATAATAATGAACATGTTCCAATGCCAGCCCCAAAACTCGCAAAACTCATTGACAAAGGAACAGATTCAGCTTGTTTGAAAGCATGGGCAACCACGATTATGAAGACGGCCTCCGGGCAGACAGGCATATTCAACTACGATATTCCATCTATCAACCTCACGACCACTAAGTTTCTGGACCACTATGTTGTTGAAAGTTAAACTTGATTTTGAATCAAGTTTAATTATTGGATCATCTGGTGGGCCAAATACACCCCCTTAAAAAGTTCTAGAAATTTTCTAGAATCATTTTCCACCTCCTTAAACTTAAGAATCTAGATATTCTTATAGAATAATCTAGATAATTAGAATATTATAATCTAGATATTATGTTAAGAACTCTCTAGATTTAGGATTAAAATATTTTAGATATTTTGTAGTTGGAGACTATAAATACCTCCTCCCTCTCTCATTTGTTGGAAGGTTGTGAAGTTGTCTTCAAATTAAAATAAAAATAATAAAGTTGTATTTCCTAAAACTCTCTCTCAAATACATAAACACATTTTCCATTACCTCTAAATTTTTTTTACTCTAACATATGTGGCCACGTCTTGGATGAAATGCACAAGCTGAGGATCTTACTTTGGAAGACCATTTCGATAAAATGGTGACATGAATAAATTAATACTCCGGCCACTCTGCTTTAATTTAAGGCTCCGGCCACTCTGCTTCCGGCCATCAGCAAGGTTCGAGTTTTTCAGTTTTCCGGTGATGTTTCCGATTGACCTTTTTGTAAATTGGGTTTTCTGCGTAATGGATCTTGGTCCAAGCCCGTAACATTTTAAACTTTTTATAAATTTAAATTTAAATGTTTTTAATATTTTAAAATTTTATAAATTTTAAATAAATAAATAATAATATTTAAAAAATTTTGAGTAATATTTTACTTCCGTAAAAGTAGGCATAACCACGGTTACGGTTATGGTTTATTAACCACCGGTTATGATTATAAATTTTCTCTAACCGTAACATTAACCACTATATATACTGTTAAAACGGTTACGGTTAAATACGGTTACGGTTACAACGGTTACGGTTAAATACGGTTATGGTTATTTGATGATTACGATACGGTCAATATTAAAGACAAAAGGTTAGATTTTTTAACCTTTAGAATAAAAAAATTAATGATGATATATCAAATAATATTTATTTTATAATATCTAATATATGTGATTATGTGTTTCAAATATATGTAGTTAATTAGCTATTTTGTTCAGTTAAATAAACCAACGAATAACTAAATCAATGGTCATAATTATAATGATTGAGTTATTGTCATATTGCCAACACTTTTTTTTTTTGTCAACATCTTAAATTAAACGCTCAAAAGAGCCATTCCTGCGGAATATTGTTTACATAAGTGATGTGAAGCGGTTCGGTACGAACTTGTCGAGCCAATTATCCGCTTTTACATTTGCGCTACGAGGAATTAAAGATAAAGAAAAACTTAAAAATTCATCCCTGTCACTCTTAAAGTCCTTCAGGTATACTGAAAAAGCCGGCCATTCGGTTGAAGAAGACACCATCTTCACCAAATCTGAACAGTCTATAAAGAAAGCTACATCTTGGTTGTCAGCACCAATCATACACTTCATCGCCCAAAGAAGAGCTTCGACTTCTGTATGTAGAGGAGATAGACTTCTGCGGATGTTGGCAGCTCCCATGGTTGGCATCTCTCCATTTGATGATGTACAATACCATCATGTTCCTGAAAAAGTATCGGTTCCTTTCCATGATTCATCTATGAAACAACGATATCCTGAATAGTCATATTGCCAACACATATTCCAAACAATACTATAGAGAGGATGTGGTGAGAATTAAGAAACGATTACAAGAGTAGTGGACTAGTGGAATGGATTAATTTTAGTAGTGGGTGCATTGAACCATCTAAGACTTTGTTTAGTGAAATAAGGGCTACATGTAGCAATCAACCTGTAATATATGCGCTCAACTAGGATCACCCTGTACTTTCGACCTCTACCCAATTCACCCTGTATTTTTCTTCTTCTTCCTAATTCCACCTAAACTATAAAATTCTATTCAATTAACCAAATTCAATTAATCGCGGAAATTGCGATTTAAAATCAATAATTCGCATTCATTATTTCGTGATTTTGAATACACCAGGGTTTAAAAATTTCTCAACAACATGTCAACAACACATTGAAAACCTTAGCCGAGTCAAGATTTTAAACTCTGATATACCCAAATCGCGAGATAATGAAAGCGTATTATTGATTTTAAATCGCAATTTTAGAGATTTATTGAATTTGGTTAATTAGATAGAATTTTATAGATTGGGTGGAATTAGGAAGAAGAAGAAAAATACAGGATGAATTTGGTAGAGGTCGAAAGTATATGGTGATCCTAGTTGAGTGCATATATTACAGGTTGATTGCTACAGGCTGCCCGTAAAATAATTATGTATTTAAGGTTTTAACTATACAGTTAATTATGCGGTTAACCATACGGTTAACTAACGGTTTTGATACGTTTACGGTTAATTAACAGTTACGGTTAATATATTTTTTAACCGTAACTAATCTATTTTTACGGTTAACGGTTACGGTTATTAACCGTTTTACACAGTTACGGTCCGGTTACGGTTGAGAAACGATCCGATTATGGTTCAAAATACGGTTACGGTTAGTTTTTGGTCATGTCTACGTAAAAGTTATTTAAAAAAAAGTATATCAAAATTAGTAAAATATAAAATTTAATTTAATGACTTTGAAATATTTCCCCTTTCCCCTTCGTCTTCTTCTCCACAACTCTCTCTCTCACTCCCTCCCAAATCTCTCTTCTTAGGGTTTCTCTCTTCACCAAAAACTCCTAAATCTCTCTCTCAGATCGTCACTACCCTTTTCAATTCCATCCTCAATCTTCAAAATCCCCAAACGAAATCAATCAAAAGATGTCGTCACAAGGCTACGCAATCGAGCTCTACTTCGATCCATCACTCGAGAACCAAGTCTTGAAAGCTTGGAACGTTTTCGCTCGTCGTCAAATCAGTACAAAGCTAATCAACAACGAGTCTCGTCCACACATAACTTTATTCTCATCTTCATTCATCGATTCAACAAAGCTTGAACCAATCTTGAAATCATTCTCATCGAAACAAGAACCAATCTCTCTCTCTTTCTCTTCAATTGGAAGCTTTTCTAATGACAACAATGCTCTGTTTCTTTCGCCGACACCGTCTCTTTCGCTTCTTCAGCTTCAGGTTCAGTTATGTGAAGTGATTAAGAAAGAAGGGTTTGAGATTGGTGAAGAGTATCGTGTTGATTCTTGGGTTCCGTTTTGTCCTGTGGCTGTTGATGTTCCTAAGTCACGTATCTCTGAAGGGTTTTTGGTTTTGAGAGATTTGAAGCTTCCTGTGAATGGTTATGCTATGGATATTGGTCTTGTTAAGTTTTCTCCTGTTCGTGAAGTCTTCTCTTTTGGTCTTGGTAACAATTTGGAATCTTGATATGAAAATGTTTAGCTTTGAGTTAGTAACAATCTGATTATGTAATTCCTTTGGTTTTAGTTAACAAAAGTTTCGAGCTTGTTTGGTGGAACTTGATGATCTTGATGGAACAGTATAGAAGCAATTATGTTTATGTTACATCTACTTTTAGTTTATGGAGTTTTGGTGAAAATTTCTTTGATAACGAAATGCTTGAATCGTCTGCAGATTAGAGTTAAGCTTGACTAAAGTTGTATTATTGATTTGAGATTCTTCAGTTCTGTTTCATGTCTTTGTGAATGAACATGAATTGGTCGAAGCCATCTCGCTGTTAATATCTTCTCAGTTGACTGTGTACAAAAGGCTCGAACTTGGTGATCTTGATGGAACAGTATAGAAGCAATTATGTTTCAAGGTTTTTGTAAAAGGTTTGATCTTCTGGTTCTTCAGAGCTTCTCCATATGTTATAATTCACTGCGATCTTGTTGATCTCGTTTTCGCTGGTTTGTAAGTTACACTTTATGGAACTATATAGAAGCAATGTATGTATGGTAGGTAAAGAAATTTAGCTATTAGGTTTCTGTTTCAAATTGTGCCGAATGGTGTGAAGAATTTGCTATTATCTGTTCTCAATTTACTGTGTACAAAAGTTTTGAGCTTTCTGTTTCTGTTTTCGTTTCAAAATTGTGCCGGATCAAGTTTTCGTTGTTGATGGAATAGTGTAGAAGCAATGTACTTATGGTTGTGGTAAAGAAATCAGCTATTATTCTTCAGGTTTTTTATTGTGCCGGTCTGCCGGAAAAAGTTTTCTGTTAAAGATTTGAGCTACTTCTAGTGCATGTAGTTTGGTGCATACTTCTTCAATACCCAAATGCTTGAATCTTCTGCAGATGAGAGAGTTAAATTCGGCCAACGTTATATTATTGACTTGAGATTCTTCATTTGTACTTCATTTGTGTTTTGTAACATGAATTGCTCGAAGAAGCCATGTTGTGTTAATATCTTGCAGGATTCAACAGGAAGCACTCGGTGAAAACATGAAACTGTATTTATATGAGGTAAACGAAAATTATGTGTTCTATTGAATATTGTGTATCTCTCTATGTAAAAGAATGAATCACATCAATGAATAACATCAGTATTCATTTAGAAAAGTAAAAGAATGTTTCTGCTATGTATGTTTTTGCACATATTATCATCTTAACTGTCTAATTATCGCCATTAGAAACTCATTCCACGCATCAATTGGCCCAGGCAAACACCAGTGCACGCAATCATTGTAACCTTTCATCCATTTATTTCCCCAGTAACCATTCGGATGCCCATCGGGTCTCATCAGCATAACCCTCGTCACATCCAAAACCGCAAACTTCTTTGCTTTGTTGTTCCGTTTTGTTGCTATACCTTCAACCTGTTCAATCTGAGATCTCCTGATCTTCATCTCATTGCTCTGCAGGTCAATTTGGTTTTCTCCAAAAGGACTCGTCCTGCTGCAAGTTCCTCCGGTATCCCAAGTCCCATTCTCGAAATGGGCAGGTGAAATAGTCCTCAGTACCGTCACCAAATTATCCTTACACTTCTCACACTCATCGATAAACTTAAAGACAGCTGAGTAAACAAGCTTAAACCCTTCTTCCGGGCTAATCTGAGTCATGTTTGGTAAGTTACAGTAAATGCAACCCAGTGTCTCATCTCCTCTATGTATAAATATCGGTCTGAAGAACCAGTGAGCAGCCGAGACAATAGCAATGTCTGTATTCGGCAGACCCTTAAACCACCCTTCATCGATCTTGCCAATGTCTAGATCAAACAATCCAGTTCCTGTATTGTTACCATCCCTCCTCTCTCGTTCCTCTACAAGAAACTTAGTCCACGAAGTCGAGAGAGTAAAATCATGTTTCGGAAAGTACCAAATCCTGTTTCTATCTTCTCCATCTTTGTAAATGACCTTAGGAGTTTCTTCCTACACAAGCAAACACACAAAAAGCTTAAGCAAAAGCAATGATTCTTACTTGTAACCAAAGTAACACATTATATTACCATTGACAACAAGCAAAGAAGAGATTCCATATGGTTCCTAGCTACAGAATCACCAATAAAACTCATCTTCTTGCCTCGAACCATACCGAGAAACACCTTCGGATTAAACCTAGGAAGATTGCAACCATCTGGTTTCCATCTCCAGAACAAGAAACTCCTGTCTGGTCTCCCTTGTTTTATACAGTTCTTTGAGTCAGGAATTGTAGAACAGCTTGAGTTTGTGTACAAAGATCCTCTTTTGTCTGGAACCCAATGTCCCTTGAATAAATCACATTTAGGATCTAACCAAAAACCACAACAACAAAAGATAAAACAAATCAGTAGAATTTTCAGAAAAAATCTCAAGAACACAAAAATAACAAAATATATTGAGAGATTTTCAAAAACAGCAAAAACGTGGGAATAGTTAAAATATAATAATCAAAAATTTTATAAGTTTACAAATACAGAAAACTTCAACATAAAATCATAATTTCAAAACAATTAACAATTAAAAATAATCCATATATTCACATATTTTGTTGATCATATTTTCTGTTTTATTTGGTTTTACCTTACCGATTTGAGGTTGGAGAGAAAGAACATTTTGATCAGCAATGGATTTAAAAGGATTCTGATAAACGAAGAAACCGGTGAAGAAGAGAGTTATACAAAAAGAAGACAAGAAAAATGGAGATGATCTTCCAATGTTCATAATCATCCATCTCTCTGATTTTTTCTCTGAATTTTCTCGAAATATTGATGATGATTGTTTCATTGTTGCATGTCGATCATCCCTAGAAATCATACCCACACATATATACTTAAATGTCTCTATCTATATATACAAAACCACACACGCGTTTCTTTTCATTGTTTCCTTAAAAGTTTAAATTTGGGTAGTGAAAATGAAAATTTATTAAGGAAAAAAGTTATAACGGCGATTTTTTATGATATTTTTGTATATTTTGTTTGTTTTTTCAATGATGATGTAACGGTAGCCGTCAAAGAATACACGTGGCGTGAGGGAAGATTGTGTGTGTTTGCATGTGAATTGTGAATTGATAAGTCTTTTCTAGTTTTCTTACACTAAACCATATTTCACGGCGCAATCTCTTTGTTTCCTTTTTGTGGAAATTTTGTTGCCACTTTTTGTGTATTTTATTTAACGCGTCTAGTGTAATCTTTCTTGATTTTATCGAATTCAAAACTTTACTACTAGGAGATTTCTAATATTTGAAAATAAATACATAAATCCAAGGGATTTGTATATCATAATTCACCAATACAAAGGAAAGATCACAGTCTCACAGATTCATGATGATATGTAAATATATGTATTTAATCATCTAGAGTATCATCTAGTGAATGATGAGGTCCAGTGGAAATCCGATAGAGATTTTTTATTAGATGGACTCATCAAAAATTAAATAATAATAATTTGTATTCCGACATTTAATGGATAAAAAACAGATTTTAAGAGAAAAAATAGTGTTTTAGACATATATGGGATCCGAAAAAATGTTATTTGAAGTCAATTACACGACGATTTTGTTGTTGTATCATTACTAGTATTAAGCTCTAACCAAATTTCTTCTGAAAAAAAACGGGAAAAATGTCGGTTAATAGCCGAACTTTCAAAAAATGGCCGTTTAATACGTGAACTTGTTATATGGCCAATTTAAACATGAAGTAAACGTTGACCGGCCAATTTAAACATAAAGTATTCGTTGACCAGGCCAAAAACCACACGCCGTTATCTGTCGTTAACAGATCTGATAACAGCCGTTAACGATTCCGTTATTACCTAAAACGACGTCGTTTTGGGCTTAATCGCCGCCGTGTCTTCAAGCTCCAGCAACGCTTGCTGCTCCATTGGAGCTCCTTCAAACGTGCTACCAATGAAAAACGAGAACGGAGTCGGAAACTGATTCTTCCTCAGATCCTGAGATTCCTTATCTGGTTTCCCATTCAATCTATTCGACAATTGAACCACTTCTTTCATCAAAACCTCAACCTCGTTCGCCAATTCGTCCAGATTCTCTTCACCGGACGGTCGATCTTCAAGCCCCGTCACCTTCGCGACGAGGTAAGGTTTCGTACGGACGAGATCCGTGACGCGAAATCGTTCCTGACCTTTACAGATTAAGAAGAATCGATCATCGACGAGACGCTCGTGCTTCACGATTTCTCCGACGCAGCCGATTCCAGCTGCGAAACCTGAAACGGCGTCGGAGTAGACAACGTCGAATCTGAGATCGGATTGGAGAAGCGTTTGCATCATGACTCAGTAACGGAACTCGAAGATCTGAAGCGGGATTGTTGCGCCGGGGAAGAGAACGAGAGGTAGTGGGAAGAGAGGAAGCTCTACTAGGTCATCTGATTTGGGCGGATTCGCGTTGTGGTGCTTCTCGGAGAAGGAGGAGGATGAACATCGGAAGGAGAGGAGTTTGCAGCTTTGACGGTTGATGCTCCGGTAAGTAGCTGGAAGATGTAGAGGATTCACGGCGGCGATTAAGCCCAAAACGACGTCGTTTTAGGTAATAACGGAATCGTTAACGGCTGTTATCGGATCTGTTAACGACAGATAACGGCGTGTGGTTTTTGGCCTGGTCAACGAATACTTCATGTTTAAATTGGCCGGTCAACGTTTACTTCATGTTTAAATTGGCCATATAACAAGTTCACGTATTAAACGACCATTTTTTGAAAGTTCGGCTATTAAATAACATTTTTCCTGAAAAAAAACACGATCGGTTGATATTAGAATGGTAGGTTAAATTGACCGGTTGAGTCGTAACGTCATTTTCACCTACCAAATATTTCATGGTCAGATTAGAAAGGTTTAATTCCTGGTAAATCCGTAAATATAATTTTCAATGATCTTATTCTTAATTCCATAGTCTAAAATTTTGTGCGGAATGAAACTGAACAGTCCATTACATGGGAATATAAGATATTTAAATCTAATGCTCTAAATGTATCCAGTGGTTCATAAGGCAACAATATCTACAAATTAATTGATCCAACCCAAAACATTGGTCCAGCCCAAAACATTGGTCCAGCCCAAAACATTGGTCCAGCCCATGCCTAAAAGAAGAAGAAGTTGATTCAGATTTGTGGTTTAGGACGGACATTGGGGGATTGTTTCCGATGAATTTCTAATGCCAAGTCAAAGTACATTATCTAAGTAAGTGTGTATGTAGAGGGGTCTAATGCTTGAGGAAAAAAAAAAAAAAAAAAAAAAAGAGGAAAAAAAAAAGAGGGGTCTAATGCTCAAGTAGACGTCATTGAGGTCGTTTATCACTTCACTTTGATACTGTGAGCTTCATTGCGCTGTCGATGGACTGATTATCTTTGCTTCCATATTTTTATCTTTTTTTTTATCATGAGACCAAATCATTAGGTTTTATAATCTTGTAATGCCTAAACCTTTTCATTTAACCAAGTGTCATTAGCTCAAATGGTAAAGATCCTATGCGAAGCTTAGAGGTCGCCGGTTCGAGTGACGTTTGGGACGAAACTAATATTACATGTTGTGGTTTCGGGCATGGGGGGATTACGGACTTTGGTCCAGAACCTCTTGGTATTCAAAAAAAAAAAACATTTTCATTTCAATGAAAGATTTACATTCTTAGAAGAAAAACTGTGTATATTACATCAAAATAATATAAATAATAATAGTGACATAAGTACATTCTATTGTGGATATAGTAAAGTTTTTAATGGGATGATTGTTAAAATTTATATACTAGTATCATGTGATTTTAAAGAAATATAATCCAAAGATTATTCAAAAAGAAAAGAAATAGGTGCAATTTGGAGCTTTAGCTTTTGTTAATGGAGTTCAACAGTTTGGAGCTTTAGCTTCGCGTTGAATATAGGGATTTGTTCAGCACCTTTAGCGGAGTTGTGGGGAGTTTACTATGGTCTAGTCATTGCCTGGGAGAGAGGATTTCGACGTGTGGAGTTGGAGGTGGATTCCAAACTGGTGGTTGGTTTTTTGCACACAGGGATAAGCGATGCTCATCCGCTGTCTTTCCTGGTACAGTTGTGCCAAGGCTTTATCTAAAAAAACTAGCTAGTCCGGGTTAATCATGTGTATATGGAGGCTAATCGTCTTGCAGATGTATTAGCAAATTATGCGTTCTCGTTGGATCTCGGTTTTTTTGTCTAGATTCTTGTCCTGATAGTGTTCATTCGCTCTTGTTGGATGATGTTAACGGGATAGGGGTCTCGCGTTTTGTTCGTTTGTAATACTTTTTTTTTATTTTATAAATAAATAAAGGAGTCAATGACGCACCAAAAAAAAAACAAGTGGTCTAAACCCCAAAACAAAAAAAAAATTTAAAGGAAAATGGACTAATTAACTTGATTTCTTTTTGGAGTCATGTGACACTCTTACTATAAACATGACTCCATCCCTAGTACACTGTCGAGCGGCGCGCGCGCATGTTACATTCCATCATACATGTGTACATGTTTGGTAATGCTAAGCACTAGCCGATTATGTATTCATTGGATGGAGGGACTCTCGGATGAGGCTAACAAAGAGACCATTAATCTGGAGGTTTCTCATAGATTTTACCCTCATGTCGCAGATTAAGTTAATATTACATGGTAAACAAATATTACATGGCCAATTGTGGTATACTCTCGGATCTCTCTGGACATAATCCTCCGTCGAATTGTTTGCAGGATATGATGACACTCCTTCTTGTGATAATTCATTTCTTTCTCCTTACTATGTGAGACGTTAGCTTTTCATCCATTCATAGTTGCTTGTTCATAAATTTCTTGACCCGAGTTAGGAAGTGTAACCATTGCTTCATTTTCATGGATTATGACGCATTGACGCAGAAGCTTAATTGTTCAATGTGTGTTTGGAGTGTCCTAAACATGTTAAAATCACATGTTTTTTTACTTAGTTTACATGTCTACTCTTCCTTTCACGTGCATATATATGTTCTTGCTAGTGCTACGAAAACTCAACTATCAATTCAGGTGAAGTGATATATATGCAATTTCTCCTTCACCGAAACCGATTTTAGACGTCACCCTTACACAACTCATATGAGTTACTCTTGATAGCTCAAAATACCATGTCTTTAACTTAACACATTCACCACGAATAAGGTATAGTACTCCTACCATCTGCTTTATATATAGATACACATTTATTAGCATGAAATGAAAAACTTATTTTTTATAGAGAAACGTTGACAACGTTTTATGAAGATTGATTTTCTAACCCTCTTGTGGATTCAATATTTGGCAATAACTCCAACTTTCTTCTTCTTAGTTCTCTCACTACTGTGTTTGTGCATCTTAACGAAAAAACTGACAATTTAATCATACTACTCGTGAGGTCGTCCCAAAATAATATCCTTCGAATGAACCATTTGCATATGCACTAGAAAACAAGATAACAATATGACGTATATATACTCGAAATCGGGGCCTAAGATTGTGTTGTGTCAAATATGGACTGGGGAAGAAGTATTAATATTGTCTCTCTATTATTCACATGATTTGTCAATTCCACAACTCATTACAAATTAACTCCTCCAAACCTGCCATTAAGCCAAATATATGTCATATAAAGTAATTTGGGTTCTATAAATGGCCATTCCAAACACGTAAATAGTAATACTACATCGTCAAAACTCAATTTCTATTGACCACATTTTTGTTTACGGTGATACTCTTTCGAAGACTAGCAGTCCGGTCTGTGAACTAGTTTACATTTTGGTCTTAAAACACGAAAACATAGTCATCTTCTCTTCTGTTTATGGCCCTCATACGGCTAATGTGTTGGCTGATGAGTTGGCTAAGTGTGCACTTTATGCACTTGTTGTATCCTCCTCTATTGGAGACCTGACTCTTTAAGTTTTATTGAAAACTTCTTTGACCAAAAAAAAATAAAAATGGTTTAGCTTTCTACTCGTGAGGCTTTCTAGAAAAGATGAAGAGTAGATACAACTTGTTAGTCTTGAGA